TCCCCGCCACTGTGCGCACCCCCAGGGGAAACATGGGGGCCAAATGCTCCCTGGATTTATGTGCGGGGCAGAGGTGGGCTGGGGCTCTACACCCTGCTCTCTTTTTGCCCTGGGTGCCACGTGCTGGCTGTACCATGCGTCCCCTGCCCACCTGGTAGCAGGAGGCACAAGATAGCATCACGTGGCTCCCAGGGCAAAGGCAGCTGGGTACAGAGCCCCAGCCCGCACCAGGCAGCGTGCCTCTGACTCATACATAAATCCAGAGGGCACATGCCTCCCATGCCTCCACTGGGGTTGCACGCAGCGGTGGGAGCCTTCCTACCCACAGCCCTGGACAAGCCGCCTGCAGATCCATTACAGGCCCCACCCTGGCCCCAGGGCCACATTCACCCCAGCCCCTGCCCCATTCCCTCCCTTACTGTGGGAGCCTTGATCTGCAACCCCCCTGCCCCTTCCCTCTCCACCCAACAGACTTACCTATTGGGCGCTGCTCTACATGCCACCGAGTTCCATTCCTGGCCACGTGAATGGGGCGTGTGCATGCGCACATGTGTTTATTTGCACGTGCACGTGTGTGCGCGCATGCACAGCCCAGAAGTGGCAGTGACAGTAGCACAGTGGAGCCCGGGTGTGAGCTCCAAAACTACACGTGCAATTAATGTGTTAACAAAAACAATGCAAGAAGCCAATTAACATGTTAATCATGCACGTAACAATGATTAATTGACAGCCCTAATTGTATCCAGTTTCCCATCTGCCTGTCTGTAGTCATTCCCTTTCCAACTTCCTACTGCTTTGCATGCCCTTGGGATCAACCTAACTGGCCTATAGTTGCCTAGGATCACTCTTCTCCCTGCCCCCACCGCCCTTCTTAAATTACAGCTCCCTCCATGTGTTATTCTCCAGCTCGATGGCACCAACCTGGGCTCAGATCCTTGCTACCAGACCTGTCATTTCCTGGGCCACCTCTGTTTATCAGTGTTCATCTGCATTTGTCCAGTCTGGTGCCAAGGGAGCAAGAAAGAAAGACGGTTCAACTTACCAGATGCAGCGTGCAGAAACAAACAGAGAAAATAGGTTGTTGTCCAGGTTCCCCAGGTTTTTGTTCTCTGTTGTTTCATTCTTCAAGCCTGTTAAAACAAACACCACTTGCTAAAACCATCATGTAAAGTTCTGCACCTCCGCGCACCACCACCTCCCAGCGCTGCAGTCCTGCTATGGGTGTACCTCGTTGGACTGTTGCTCAGTGCTGAATGGGAGGGAAATGCACCACGTGTACTCCCGAGCTCGATCTACTGGGAAAGACACAAGTGTTAGAAAACGTGTTGACAATCTGGGAGTTGGAACACGTGAGCACACAAGGGAGGGTCTAGCGCAGGCAAAGGGCCTGGCCAGGCTGGAGATGGTGGCTTTGCTGCTACTTAAGGCAATTGACTGCCACTTACCTCAACTGACCTCACTTGGCCGTACATGTTTGAGTTTGGGTACGTTAATTCCTGGAAACCAATCTGTGTTTGTCACCAAGGTCCTTCCTACCCTGCAGTTAAGTGCCCATCAGGGCAGACCCAGCTCAGGGGGTCGGGTTCAGGGTGGTGGTGGGGGCGGGTCTCAAGTTATGACAGTCAAATGTTCTGGGCCAGACGGGACCAAGAACAGGTGTTAACACCACCAGGGCTGGCTCACACCACTTGTTTCCTCCGTGCAAACAGCTAGACATTATCGTTCAATTTAATTGTCATTGAAACCTGGTACGTGGCCCCGAGTGATATCCCTGCCTAGCCAGCCCCACATCAACCCAGCTGCCCGTTTTCACCCTGGTACTCCAGACTGCAGTTTTCTGCCGCACGTTTACTTTGGCAAGACAAGCTAAAAAAGACTTCAGAGGGAAAAACTGGCTGGAGGAGACACTAAACTCCCCCTCCTTTTCCCGCCACACTCCCCGGTCCCTGAAACTCAGCACCACAGACACGAGGGCAGGGTCAGCAGAGCGCAGACAGCATCCCTGCCTGCTCTCCTGGCTTTCACCCAACAAGGACACTCCTCCAGGAGAGATACTGCCCTTTTGGAAGAGCCACCTGGATGCCACGCAGAGAACTGCGGCAGTACAAAAATAAAACTCTCACAAAATGCACACCTTTATTTATGACATACCATCCCTCCCTGGGACCTACACGGGGAATCCGCAAACAACTGCAATTCATTCTAGAAGATGACCTAATTCTTAAAGAGATCTTCCCAGAACCCCCCATCCCAGTCTTTAAACAAGAAGTAAACTTCCTAGGGCCCAAACCACACCATGTGGACCCCGACCATGCCATGACAAGAAACGTAAACTTGCCAACACATCTCCAGCAGTCCCACAGTTACTACACCCCACAACAGAGCCATCAACGTTCCTGCATCTTATACCTCACCTCCAGAAATGTTATATATCTCACCGAGTAGTGTACCAAATGCCCTGATGGAAAATACACAGGAGAGACCAAACCACAACAACTGCGCACCAGAATGAACACACTCTGGAAATCTATCGAAGACCAGAATACCCAACAACCTGTGGGGACACGTTTCTCCCAAGACAATCGCTCTCTCTCCGATCTCTCAGTTCTAACCCTCAAAGGGAACTTACAAGACACCTTTCCCAGACGAGCCCATGAACTTCACATCATCAATCTACTGGATGCAAAAAATCCTCTCCTCAGCTAGGAAGGAGGGGCAGGGTGCAAAAACATAACCTGCTTCTAATTAAAGTGCTGAACATTTTCTCAGCTGGAAAAAAGGCCAGGGAACTTCAGAGGCTGAGACTGACTGCAACCCCCTGGCAGAGGGAAGCAAAGGGCAGGTATGGCAGGGCTCAGTTACCTGCAGCCTCTGCGTGGCACTGCTCTGGGACCACAGCCTGGGGCCATGGGCCAGTGAGGCTGGGAGCAGGTGGGAACCATTTCCTCCTCATCAGGCCGACACAGTCCATTGTCCGATCTGGAGAGGGGAGCATGGGGCAGGAGCAGTAGGTGTTTCCCTGCTGGCTGGGAGGCCCTTGCAGTGGGTCTGCACCTGTGCTACCACCTTGCACATGGGGGAGGCTCCACATAAGCACTTTCCAGAAACAGCCTGGTCCTCAGGAGCCGGCCCAGGAGAGGAGAACTGGGCATCCCAGCTAATCTGTCTGCACCAGTGGGTCCCTTCCTGGATGCTGGTGACCTGTGGAGGGCCACAGCTCCTTCGTCACCCCACACTGGCCAGCGTGGAGCCTAGCCCAAGCCCCAGCCCCAGCGTCCGCCCACCCAGGGCAGGGCTGCTGCAGCCACAGTGTCCCTGGGTTTCCACGGTGCTGGCAGTGCTCTGAGTCCCCCGGAGTCACAGCGATGCCTGCTCGCACCCCCGGGGGCTGCCCTGGCCCAGAGTTGCAGTCGCTGCCCACCGGCAGCAGCCCCTGGGTGGGCACCACCCATGGCTGGACCCCAAGTGTTGTTGTCCCGGCTCCTCCTGCAAGCTGTTTAGCCAGCCCAGATCTGGATGCTGGGCGCGAGGCACACCCCTGCCTGAGCACCTGGCGGAGATGCCAGGAGGATGGGGCCAGCCCAGGCAGTTACTGACCCTGCAGGAGCCCCCTTCTTCCTGGCCCCGAGTGGCAGGGGGGAGAGGCCTGTCCTGTGCCCGTGGCCCCCCGGAAGAGTCTGCTGTGCCCTCCCCTGGGAGGACTGGGGCTGCACAAGTGATGGAGTGGGGACTGCTCTCCCTCTCACTTGCTCCTTCAGTCTCTGGGCTTGGAGGAACCAGACAAGGCAGCTGTGGCGGTGGCCAGCAGCTGCCGGGTCCAGACCAGGGCTGGGGTGTGCTAAAGCTGAGGACTGTGACTGGCACAGAAGCCTCAACCCGCCCACAGCTGCAGCCGTGGGGCCCTCCCATGCAAACCCCTGTTGTTGCCCCAGGGATGCAGGAGGAGGTGGTGCCGGCAGCACGGCGGGGTGGGGGGCAGGCAGGGATGGTGCCTGCAGCTTTGCCTAGCCCAGAGCTTTGCTCACTCTCCGTCTAGAGATGTAAAATTTCTGGAAATTTTGAAGCCAGCCTTACACTTCTGGAGACTTTAAGATCCTCAATTATTACTGTTTCTTGAAGAGCTTCTTTGTTTTTTCAGTAAACTTCCAAATGAGATCACTGCTCCACCCCAGCAGTTTTATTACAGTTTGGGCGTTGCCATTTGATTCTTGTCTTCCTGCTTCTTCTTAAAGACTGCAGCTGCAATGTGAGTAGCTTTTACATGTTTTATAACTTCTTTTGCTCTTCTATAAATCTTTTGAAGACTGTCCAACTTTATGATGTCATTAACAAGCAATTTTAACCTATGGGATGCACATCCTAATGTAGTAATATGGGGATTTTTACCCATTATGATTTCCCATGCCGCTTTCACGTTACTTGCATTGTCAACCACGCAAATACTTTACAACGACGCCCAATCTTCTGTCGGACTTCACATATTTTACTACTGGTACACTCTGCAGTATGCCTGCTCTCTCCTGTTTCAATGCTTCTGTAAAAAACTGGTTGAGGTGTTGTTATTGCAAAGTTTATGATTCTCTCTCCCCTCACATTTGTCCATCTATCTGTAAGTACTGCAAGACACCGTGCTTCACTGATTTTTCCTTGCACAGATTGCATTACACGTTCATATTCTGACTCTAAAAGAGGCTTGCTCAAAGAATGTCTGCTGGGCAAACGGTATGATGGTCTTAGTAATTTAAAAGCTTCCTGCCAGCATGCATTTTCAGTTATTGACTATGGCATCCCAGAAGACTATATTGCTCTTGATGCTGCCAGTGTCCACTCGCAGTCCCTTCAGGCCTAGTCAGGAGGACAGGAGCAGATCCACCGACCTCTACATCAGAAGTCAACAATAGAGGAAGACCACAAGCAAAGAAGGCACTGAATCCTTCTTCCTTCTCTCATGAAAATGGCAGTGCCCCTGGGGGGCAGAAACGCATCTTGCTCTTGCATTTGCGAGTTGGACTGTACTGCTTGCCCTTGGCGTACAGGAGTTGGAAAGATCTGATACTGTAGATAGTCTTACTTAAAAGTCTTCCTATTACATCACCAAAAGCAAACTTCCTTCTGCCCAAAACACACCGAATGGATCCAGACCTTGCCATGACAAGGAATGCAAAATCTGCCGACACATCTCCACCACCCCCACAGTTACTACACCCCACGACAGAACCAAGTATCTATAAGTTTTAACAACTTTGAGTTTGATTCCCCCCAAGTTCCATGGGTATGCCATCAAACAGGTTCCCCAAAACATTATTTTGGATTTATCATCATTTATCTTTCAGTTATTTTGTCCACAAAGCTGCTCAAAAGTTGTAATTGCTCTCTGTATGTAATCTGATGGGGGCTCTTGACAGTATGACGGTGCTATCTGCATACATTAAAATAGGGATCGGGGCTGCTAGTAATTTTGGGGGGTGAAAATGAGTGCCCTGCATATTTCCAATAATATCATTCATATAAAGGTGAAATCACAAGGGGGCCAAAACACACCCTTTTGTGTCAGAAATTTCTGTGTAAGTTCACCCCTCAGGCCCCACCTTACTTGGGCCCGTGTATCTGTATGATATTCTATCAGCAGATGCAAAAGAAGGGTCAATCCCATAATTTAACAATTTCTCCTAAAGTTTACTTGTCTATCCTGTCAAAAGCGCTTGACAGATCAACAACTGCAACCTACAATGCTGATTCGTGCATATTTATGTCTCAAAAACTGAAGGATAAATATGTTATCAATAGTGGAATATCCATCCCTAAATCCTTGTTCAGGCATAGATGGCCCGTGCTCAAGAAATCAAACCACTTAAGTCTCTGCACTTATCTCTGGATGTGCTTTGAGCCTTTACCAAAAGATAAGCACAATACAATTTAAAGACTGGCTGGAGTAACAAGGCCCCCAAAGAAGCATGCCACTACAAGCATGTACATTAATCTTCGCCTGAAGAGGAAATTGCCTAATAGACCACAGGGGATTTTGCATGGCAGAACGCCTGAACGAGGCAACGCTCAATGGTAATTGCATCTCAGCTAAAGACTTCTTTTTCCTCAGCACACCGAATATCTGTTTTGCATGCACTAAGCATGAGACCTACGGTTCCTGTGTCTCAACATACATAAAAATGCATTTCCTGCCAAGCTGCTCAGTAACATGGTAGCTGGACTAACCCAAAATATTGTTTCCTTCTTTTTGTACATGGACCATAAAGATGACAGGGTATGAAGCATAAATAACTATCTCCCAGTATAATGGATAATTACATCGATCCCCGTGCCATCAATGAAAAGCTATTCCTCGTTACGGATGCTTAGGGAAGCAGTGTGCTGCCGGCGGCAGTGACTGAGAGCGGGCAGCACAGGGAACCTGGGTAGGCTTCAAGTCAGGCACTGAGAGGCCGCCAGTATTGCAGGACACCTACATGAAACAGCGTGGAAAAGATGACCGGTTTGGGAACTCAGCACAATTTCCCGCAGACGCTGAAAGAAAGTCTGTGTGAAAGGAAGTACCCATAATTAAATGTGGACACCAAAATGAGCACAAGCCTGGAGTTAACATACTCCATTTACCAGGACCACCCCAGCTGTAATACCTGCCAGGGGCTGCATTTGTATTCCTGTCTCATGGCACCCTACTTGAACCAAGTTAGTTGTTTCCACGTGCATGTGTACCAGAAAACTGAATCCGTCCCACTGGGCAGTGTGTTAGGACTGGAAAGAACTGGCGATACAAAGTCCCATCAAAAATCACCACAGCTAAATTGATTGCTAGCAAAAACTAATGTTGCCCCAGGCAATCTTGTGTTCTTCTAGCTTTGTCCGAACCCACAAGAAGTCACCAAGAAGACACAAGGCAAGACAAGTTTCCCTGAAACTTAGCATGCACTGCATCAGTCCATAAATGGACTTTTGCATACACCACACACAAACACTGAGCAAATAGAGTATAATACCTTGTTTCCGGAAGCCAGAGATAGTCCTCAATGTCATCTAGCACCTCTTCTGATTAAGCACTGCACTTGCAACGAGTCACTTGCGTAGTCCTACGTTCAGTCACAATGACTGAGTCACCTCCGAGGAGCACTGCATCCATGTGAAACCCTGGACTTTTATTTAAACTGTTAGTGAGCTGGTGTGTGTTTTCTGCTAACCTGCAGCTGCCTTGCAGAAATGCAGCCCTCGCCTAGAAAGATATTACTTCTTCATTTTAATCAAGCCTAGATTAACCATAAGAGTGCCTGTACCTCCAACGGGTCCGTTGTCTGATCCCGCCCTGTTAAGGGCAGAGATTCCTCCGTGACATAACCATGAGCAAGATGCAGAGGGGGAGGGATTCATTAGGCTCCCAATACCTACCGGTCCAACATCATTTATGGAGTCAGAAGTGCACAGATTAGATGGGGCAGGATCGAGAGAAAGTACCTCCACTTCTTTCTCTTCTAGCTGTTCGCAGTGCTTCCAGTCCCGAAGCAGGCACCTCCTCTAGCTTAGATTTCAGTCTCCTTCAGACCTCAGGGCGGCTCCAAGTCGCACTTCCCCTCACCGAATGCAGATGTGCACGGCCGCTCATCTTCTTCCCTTTGTGAGTACAGTTCAGAAGAGAGCTGCCCCGTGAGCTTCTAGGGTAATGTTCTTACAGTCAAACCAATAGCGGAAGTGCTTCACGCGTTCAGGCTGCTTGTTGCGGCATTAATAGGCGGTCTCACATGCCAACTATTTGCATCATCCACTACGCCCGGCTGCACTGAACAGATTTGAATGCCTGCAGCTTCTGGCTACGCTTAGCGCATTAGACACGCTTTCAACTCCAGATAAATACTAGAGCTGCCACCTGCCTTCGCAGAAGTACTGAAGAAAGATTTTTCTGCGCAGCATCATCCGTCAGCCCATGCACAGCATTACTTGATGGATTACTTCAAGCAGGCATCCGGGACAGACATGCCACTACAAACAGCTTCAGGAGATGAGGAACTTTATAGAACGACAGGCAAGTTGTGCCGCCACCTCCGAAACAATTTCCAGTTTCCCGTGGCAGAGCAGCAGACAGTACCTTGTGCCTAGTAGGGCTCTCCCTTCTCCTGAACAGGGACAGAGCCCCAGTTCACCTGCACTCATTAGCTCCTTCTACTCCTGCCAAAGCTGCCTTTAAATCCCCTGCTTGGCAGAAGCATTTATCTCATTTCATCAAAATGTGTTCAGCTTTTGAGCACAAATCATGTGTTACTGCATGCAACCACTTCAATAGGCTGTTCAGGGACAGGGCTGCTCTGGAAAGCGCCTAGGCTCTCTCCCCCACCGCCTCGGATGGGGCATGGCTCCGGAAGTGGGGACAAGGGGAAGAAAAGCAATGCAGATAACAGGTACAAAGGCCATGCAGCAAAGGGAGACATCCCAAGAAGAGCAGAGCTCAGCAACCACTGGCACAGCTGCCTCTGGACCAACATATCAAAACCAGCATTACAGACTGTGGCATTGCTTTAAGGGTGGACTAACTCACGTAGCTGCGATAGGGGTTACAGACAAGTGTTCTCATCTTCCATTCGACAGCTTGTCCAACTCTTGCTAACAGGTGACTCATCTAGCTCCTGTCTAACAATGGCCTGAAGACAGTCTTGCATTCAAAAGCTTGTCTATTTCAATCCTAGCTACATTAGTTGGTCCAATTAAAAAAAAAAAAACAACAAAAAACCACTGTAAGAAGCCCTCGCCTCTCACCTCAATTCTGCACCATCACGGCTACAACATCTCTCTTACACCCTCATTGCTTTAAGGCTCATTCAAGCCACGTCCAGGCAGAGGAGAGCTCCTGATTAAGGACATGCCGGGTACCTGTCCACGGCCCGCGGGGGCTGGAAGCTGCTCAGCTTTCTGCTGGTGACAAGGCTGCGAGAAGCCGGAGAAGCCGGTTGCATCTGCTGGGGCAGCAGCGGTAGATGACAGCCCGGGGATCCGCCAGGTTTTGTACTGCAAGCTTGATTTTCCATTCTCAGCCCCGCCCTGCTCCCCGCTGGCTGGCGCTCTCCCACTTTTTGGCTGGACTCTAGGGCACAAACCCAGTGAGTTGGTCAAGAGCTGAGGGTGGAGGCCAAGTGCACCGCAACATCTGCTGCCAGATGGGCCCCGTCTCCCCCCATAAAAACCCCGCTGCTTCCAAGAGGGGAGGAGAAGAGGGGCAAGAGGCAGGGCTGGGGCAGGGGGAAGTGACCCGCAGCTCCTTGCACCAGGCAGCCCTCAAATCAGGGCGGCCCCATCACATGGGCAGCACATGGGATGCACGCCCAGTGCAAAATAAGGCAGGGGGGGGGGGGGGGGGGGGGGAATGCAGCACCCTCCCAGCCCAAGACCCAGGGCAGGAGGCAGCACCTGGGCCCTGCACCAGGCAGCACCAACCTGGCCCTGGGGGAAATCAAACATCGCCCGCCCGCCCCGGCCCCGCACCACACCACAAAACCAACCGAAGGGCTGCGTGTTTGCGGGGCCCGCCCGCACCTCGCCCGAGTCCGGCGCTGTGCAGAGGAAAGCCGCTGGCCCCGCGGCCCAGAGAGAACCCCTGGTTACGGCGGCAACCTCATTGCCGCCGCAGCCAATGAGCACGCCCCGTCCCCCGCCGCAGCCAATCAGCCCCCGGGGGAAGAGCAGCACCCACTGCTGAAACTTCCTCAGCGTGACGCAGGGGTTTTGAACGCGAAAGCTTGCCTAGAAATTGTTTCCCAACTATTGAAGTTGGTCTAATCAAAGATCCCAGGGTCACCCAAAGAACCTGGTCCGCCTGTGGCTCCCGCCTACCCCTGAACCAGTGCAGCGCCGCACTGCAGCTTTCGGGGTCTCCCTCCCCGCCCCATCTCAGACGTGCTTGCGCGTTCAAGCACAGGGCCCGAACACGCACCTACACACGCGCGCAGATGGGCGCACGCTCCACTCGCTCTCTGCACATGGACACACGGAGACAATCACACTGCCCCTCCTGCCATGAACAGACACACGCATGTACAGACAGACAGACACCTATGTGCACGCACACACGCAGATGAGCCCGCGCTTTACTGCAGTCTGCACATGGACACAGAGACAAACACACTCCCCCTCCTGCCATGAACAGACACACGCACGCACAGACACACGGAGACAGGTGTGTGGTCTACACACTCACTCTATGCACGTGGAGACACAAACACACTCTCCCTGCCATGAACAGACACACGCATGCACAGACAGACACCTACACACACACATGCAGATGGGCGCGCACTCTACTCACCCTCTGCACATGGACACACAGAGTCAAACACACTCTCCCTGCCATGAACAGACAGACACCTACACACACACATGCAGATGGGCGCGCACTCTACTCACCCTCTGCACATGGACACACAGAGTCAAATACACTCTACCTGCCATGAACACAGATACATGCATGCGCACACCCACACGCAGACACACACAGACACATACAGACATGCAGCAGACACAGATGCATGCACAGAGGCACAGATGCACACACAGACGTACAGTCATGTGCACCGACACGTATGCACACAGAGATGCATGTGCACGCCCCTCCCCCCAGCCACATCCCTTCCTCTCCTAGGACGCCCCCTCCCCCCCAGCTGTCCGGGGCTCGCTCAGGCTGTTGCAGCGCCGGGCAACACACAGGGGCTCTGGTTTCCCACAGCTCGACTGACTGCCGTTACAGTCCCCAGGGATGCGGGTGTGTCCATCAGACTTGGCCACTGGTACAGCGGGTGTTGCCCATTCAGCAAACTGCACAGGGGAGAGGATGCCTTCTTGTCCCAATCTGTCCAATTCTGTTTCAGTTCTCTCTCTGATGGCACTGGCCCGGCTTTGAAATACTTTGGCTGGCCGCCCTCCCAGCCTTTATTCCCTTTGATGTACCTACCCCCTCTTGCAATACTGCACGGTAGGCTGCCAGGATTTCTTTTCAGGCAGGTATTTCCTGTAAGTCTAATTTACGTATTTCTTCCCAATCTAGCCTGAGTTTTTTCATCCATGTCCTACCAAACAAGTTTGGCCTTTCCTCTTTTGCTATTAAGGCCTGTAAGGTTTTCCGTTGTCCTTTACATGTAACAGGGACACTTACTGATCCTGTTACTGGGATGTTTTCCCCAGTGGAAGTCTTTCCTTTCACTCTTGCCTTTCCCAGTGGATTCAGGCCTGCTCTGCACTGTTGGTAAGTCTCTTCATTACCCGCTGAGACAGAAGCCCCTGTATCTATTCCCATGCATGCAGGTTGATTATTTAACTGGACAGTTACTCTGTGAGGTTCCACTTTATCCTCCATTACACAGTATACAGTGTGGACCTCTTCATCTGCCTCCTCTCCCTCCTCCTCCTGTACGTGATGAGCTTTTTGCTTTCTTCCCTTTTCTTTGGCCTGACCTTGTTGTGCCGCTGGATCGCCCCCCTTGCTTTTTTTGCTACGTGCCCCATCTCTCTGCATTTATGGCACCGGGACATTTTGTGTCTGCAGACTGAGGCTGAATGCGTGCCTCCGCGGGGAAAACATCTCTCCAAGTCTCTAAGCGGCAGGAGGGGAGGCAGGGAGGGGTGTTTCGCACCACTGACCAGCAGATAGCGCTTAGGGACTGTTAAAGCACAGTTAACGCTTAAATAGAACATGAAATACGAACACAGATGACTCGTGTCCTAAATCAAAATCTAACTTTATTAGTACAAGTATTCTCTCAGCAGTTTCTATATTCAGAGAGAGAAAAACCAGAGTACAACGATCTCACCCAATCCCAGTGTGACTTTGCTTCAGAGAAAACACAGCCGCTCAGTTCCTGAAGCAAAGGGTGCGTTGTGGGCTGGGATGATCCAGACAGGTGTTGAAAGCTGGATTTGTGATGGAAATGATGACGATGACGTACTTAACTTTCTTGCTACCCCCTTTTATGCTTTTCCTTTAACTTGACTCCTTTGATGACTCCTTGCTTTTGGATTGGTCTCTGCCGTCAGCAAATGGTCTGTATTTTATCCTGTCAGCATATTCCTTTGTTCAACAGCCCCACTGCAAGCACACCTCTTAATTTGGCTCTTTTCCAGTGTCTTCCTTTAAGCATTGTCCATTGGTCTCTTTTATCACCTTTCATTAACACAGCCAATCATTTCATCCCTCCGATTCAGCTGATTAGTGCCAAGTTCAGTTAATTTGAGCTAGTAACAAAACCACGACTATGTGGTGTTAGAAGAACTTCTCACAAGGATAGAAAAAGAAAAGAAACATCACGTGAGCAAACTCAAAGCCATAAGCAAGAACAAGGCCAGCTGATAATGCAAACAGCAGCAAAGTGAGGCGTTCCGATAACAAGGAGGCTATACAGAACTTTAGGCTGACTATAGAAGACAACTTTAAACAATGCTGGAAGCCACCACCCTATAAACAGGTGCAACCTGAAAGCATCAAATCTGACAAGCTACCCTAACAGGGGTAGAGGGAACAGCCCAGCCCGGGGGAGGGGGACCTCTGTTCCCGCCCCCTCTGTCCCCCCTCATCCCTGACGAGCAGTTGGCTAGTGTTCAAATAAGATCTTTTGCAACTCTGCCAAACTTTTATCTCCTGGCTTTTGAGGGAATCCCTTCTTAAAAGGGAATATATGTTTTGCTGCCGCAAGCACTGAGGAATATTGCCCTCTGTATGTCCCCGTCGTGATTTCATTAGCTTGAAAATCATGGCCCGATCCCTCAATACATTGCTGCCAATCCTCAGCGTCCGGATTAAATTCCTCAACTTTCCCACAGGAAGACATAGTTACATGTCCTCCTTGCCACTGGCCAGTTCCTCACGCGAACGCCGAGACTCACCTTCTCCAGGCCCAAAACCGCAGGCTGTTTTAGTCAGGGACAAACAACGACTAACTCGGGAAATGAAGTAACTCTGGAACAGGGTGCAGTTCTGGTCTCGAGCTCCCTCCGTAACGAGAGCAAACACTTTTACCCCAGAACTGCCCAGTTACTACACTTGGGGAGACACAGCTGAGCAGGGGGACAGCTGGAGGGGGCAGTAAACAGACTTTCCCCAACGGCGTCCCTTAGAGGGTGATGTGCCATAGCTGGCGAAGCAGGACTCGTCGGGCATGGAGAAACCCAGGTGGTTCACTGGGGAACTGGTGATTTCAGGGACAACATCCTCCAAAGGCAGACCTCATTTTTACGGCTGTTTACTCAGAGGTTGCAGCGTGGTGCCCCTTGCTGCAGCCTGGTCCCAGCAAACTTCCTGGGAAGCCAACAATTTAAAGCTGTTTCCAAGATGGGTAACTGGGAAGGCTGAGAAGTGCTCGGCGCCATGGTGCTGGACACGGTCTAGACCTAGAGGGACTTTGTCTCCAGGGGGCAAGGAGACTGCAGGGCAGAGACCTACAGGGTCTCAGAAGAAGATCTGGCGTCTGAGCAAAGGGGAGTTCGAGAGCTAGGGCAGGGAAGGGCCTGGGAATCAAACGGGTTTCTGGATCTCAGAGCGAAGCAAAAGCTGGCAGAGAAATCCAAGGAAAGGATCCTTCTGCAAGGACGTGGGGAGCAAAAGGAGAGACCTGATCAGCAATTCACATCAGGACAAAGGTTCCTCCAAAGCACATTTCTGTAGAAGGGAGTGCACTAAACCAAGTGATGTTCTTTTCTGATTTTGCAAATCCCCCCCTTACTCCCCGGTGCCGTTTCCTCAGATCCCAGAATCATTCACTCCGTCTGGGGCAGCTAAAGAGGGCGAGAGGGAAACAACAAGTCGGGTGCGAGATCTACCTCCAAGCAAGGCACAAGGCCAGCATGTCTCACCCCAAGGACCCAGTTCAGCCATCAGCAGTGGGGTTGGGGACTGGCCTCAAACTCCCACATCTCAGAGCAACCGTGTCTGCAGCTGTTGGTGGAAAGCAGCATCACCCACTTCTGTTGCAGAAAACGGACAGCAAGTCCCCGAAGTACGTGCACAACAAGCCTCCACCCCGAGACTCTCTTGCAGATGGTGACAGGGCTGGGATGACGGTGCTGGATGCGACCACGCATTCAGCGCCAAGCCAGCGAGGCTGTTCTCACAGCACTCTTCTGGTGCTCCTTCCCGGTGCCTGGACAAGGGCCTGATGCTCTCCTATCTACCCTGCTACTCGCACAGGACAGAGGCCTAAACAGCGTGCTCCCCACACAGCCCCCCTACTTGAACACCTAGCTTCCCCTCATCCTTGTGTTAGTACTTTAAAACAAACAGCGCTGTGTCTGATTTGATTTCCACCTGGAGATTAGAAGGTCAGAGTCCACATTTGTGCTGCAGATAACAATCCTGTCTAATGAGCGCGCTGTGAGCAGGGAGGGTCTTCCTGGGCACCCCCCGCCCTCCCCCTTTCCCAGTCTCAAATAGGAGAGGGCACGGCCATCCTAAAGGAGGGCAGAGGGAGCCAGACGCTCCCTCACTCGTGCTCAGGGCGTTCAGCCAGTGCCTGCGGGCTAAGGTCAAGTGTCGTCGCTGCACTGCCTTGTTGCCTGAGCCAGGATGGATTTCAATGGCATTGTGTAGTGGAGGGTGCACCCCAGTCCAATGCACTGCACACAGCACGCCCTAGGACTCTTGTACGTAGCTTCCCACTGGCAGGATGGGGGCTACGTGCCT